ATGGGCCATAGCACAGGTAATTTTCATCGTTTGTAACCTGAAAAAGATAAGAATATTCTTCGAGTCGCTAGCAGTAATTAACAACTTCAGTATTTTCTTGACCATGTCTGGCATTTTTAATAATACAGAAAATTTAAAAAGTTAAGCTTAAAGGTAAATACATTTCCAGATCGAGTATGCTGATATGTTGAAACGAGTTGAACCTCTGCGTGACGAGCTTTATTCTTTGGAGAAGCGAGCGGAAACTAACAAACTGAAGGGCGAGGAAGTGAAAAATCTGATCGCTCAACTGGAGCTGAGCATAGCGTCGTACAAGGAGGAGTACGCACAACTCATCTCGCAGGCGCAAGCCATCAAAGCCGACCTGGAAAGCGTGCAGGCCAAGGTGGACAGATCAATTGCTTTATTAAAATCCTTGGTCATCGAAAGGGAACGATGGGAAGCAACGAGCGAAACGTTCAAGAGTCAAATGTCCACGATAATCGGGGACGTTCTATTATCTTCCGCTTTCTTGGCTTATGCTGGCTATTTCGATCAACACGTGAGTTCCAGCTCTTCCTACATTTCTTTTGTATTAGGAGTGATAAGTTATGGTAACTTACAACGGAATGTATTTCATTTTAGTATCGCCAAAATCTCTTTACCACGTGGTGCCAACACCTGCATCACGCAAACTTGCAATTCAGACCTGATATCGCGAGAACAGAATACCTTTCCAATCCGGATGAACGTTTGAGATGGCAGGCGAACGCGTTGCCGACCGACGATCTCTGCACCGAGAACGCAATTATGCTGAAGCGTTTCAACAGATATCCGCTGATCATCGATCCATCCGGGCAGGCGACGGAATTCATTATGAACGAGTTCAAGGATCGGAAGATTACGAAGACCAGTTTCTTGGACGATTCGTTCAGGAAAAATCTCGAGAGTGCTCTACGATTCGGTAATCCCCTTCTGGTCCAGGATGTGGAGAATTACGACCCTATATTGAATCCTGTGTTGAACCGAGAATTGAGGCGAACAGGCGGACGCGTGCTGATCACGCTTGGCGACCAGGACATAGATCTCTCGCCTTCCTTCGTTATCTTTTTGTCGACGAGAGACCCGACGGTGGAATTCCCGCCGGACATCTGTTCACGCGTGACGTTTGTTAACTTCACCGTTACTAGAAGCTCTTTGCAGAGCCAATGTTTGAATCAGGTGTTGAAGGCCGAACGTCCGGACATCGATGAGAAGAGATCCGACCTGCTCAAGCTGCAGGGAGAGTTCCATCTGAGGCTGCGACAGCTCGAAAAGTCGCTGCTACAAGCGTTGAACGATGCCAAGGGCAAGATTCTCGATGACGATTCCGTGATCACCACTCTCGAGACTCTGAAACAGGAGGCTGCTGATATCAGCAAAAAGGTAGAGGAGACGGACAAGGTTATAGCGGAAATCGAGACGGTCTCGCAGCAGTACATGCCTCTGTCTCAGGCGTGTTCAAACATGTACTTCACAATGGACAGCCTCAATCAGGTGCACTTCTTGTATCAGTATTCGCTGAAGATGTTCCTGGACATCTTCACGTCCGTGTTGTCGCAAAATCCGAAATTGTCCGGCATGTCGGATTACGGTCAGCGGCTTACGCAAATCACGCGCGATCTGTTTGCCGTCTGTTACGAACGAGTTGCTCGAGGAATGCTGCATACGGACAGACTGACTTTCGCTCTGTTGCTCTGTCGTATCCACCTGAAGGGCGTACCCTCGGAGTCGACTTACGACAGCGAGTTCACGTTCTTCTTGCGCGGTAAAGAAGGCGTGCTTAACATCCGGGCGCCTCCGGTGCCTAATCTAAGCTCGGAGCAACAGGAGGCGATGATGCGCCTGAGCATAAGACTGCCCGCCTTCAAAAAGCTCGCGGAAAAGATACAGGAGAGCTCGGAATTCGGCGCGTGGCTGCAGTCGCCCACACCCGAGACGTGCGTGCCGAAGCTCTGGGACGAGGAGAAGCCGTTGTCGCCCACGGGAACGACGATGCATCAGTTGCTGATAATACAAGCCTTCCGACCGGATCGCGTGATCGCAGCCGCGTCCCTGGTAGTGGCTTCAGCTTTCAACGAGTCCTTCATGCCAGCCGCGGAGGCCGAGCTCGATTTCGCATCCGTCGTAGAGGACCAATTGAAGGCCACTGTACCAGCGTTATTGTGTTCGGTGCCGGGCTTCGACGCTTCAGGCAGAGTGGACGATCTAGCTGCGGAATTGGGCAAGCAAATAGCCAGCATTGCTATCGGGTCGGCGGAAGGATTCAATCAGGCCGATCGGGCTATAAACATGGCTGTGAAGGCCGGCAGATGGGTGCTGTTGAAGAACGTACACCTTGCTCCGCAATGGTTGGTGCAGTTGGAAAAGAAGCTGCACAGCCTTCAGCCGCACACTAGCTTCCGACTGTTTCTAACGATGGAGATCAATCCTAAAGTGCCGGTGAATCTCTTGAGAGCTGGTAGAATCTTCGTGTTCGAGCCGCCGCCTGGCATACGTGCGAACTTGTTGCGTACGTTCAGCACCGTACCCGCCTCGAGGATGATGCGAGCGCCCAACGAGAGGGCCCGTCTCTACTTCCTGCTGGCGTGGTTCCACGCAATCGTGCAGGAACGTCTGCGTTACGCGCCGTTGGGCTGGGCCAAGCACTACGAATTCAACGAGAGTGACCTGAGGGTCGCCTGCGACACCTTGGACACGTGGATCGAGGCCACGGCTATGGGTAGGACGAATTTACCACCGGAAAAGGTACCCTGGGACGCTCTGGTGACTCTTCTCTCTCAGTGCATCTACGGCGGCAAGATTGACAACGATTTCGATCAACGTCTCCTAGCTTCTTTCCTGCGCAAGCTCTTCACCCCGCGCTCATTCGAAGCTGACTTTGCCCTTGTCGCCAATATCGACGGCGCACAGAGCAATCAAAGGCACATCACCATGCCGGATGGCACTAGGCGCGACCACTTTTTGAAGTGGATCGAGTCTCTCTCGGATAGACAGACACCTTCCTGGCTCGGCCTGCCGAACAATGCGGAGAAAGTGCTTTTAACCACGAGAGGAACCGACTTGGTGTCCAAACTTCTTAAGATGCAACAATTGGAGGATGAGGATGAACTGGCGTACTCGAACGAGGAGTCTCTAGATGCACCGAGGGAAGCTGAGGCGGACGGTCGACCATCTTGGATGAGGACTCTGCACAATTCAGCCTCCACATGGTTGCAGTTACTTCCAAAGAATTTACCAACCTTGAAGAGGACAGTCGAGAATATCAAAGATCCGTTGTACAGATACTTTGAGAGGGAAGTCAACAGTGGCTCAAAATTACTTCAGGACGTTATTCACGATCTGGAGGATGTTGTATTAATTTGTCAAGTAAGCGTTTTACTTCTGGTTTATTGCTCGCGGATATAAAACGGGACTTGTGTTATTTAGAATATTTCCATTTTGCATATTTTCAACAGGGCGAGAAAAAACAGACCAATTATCACAGAACGATGCTGTCCGAGTTAGTAAAGGGTATTCTGCCCGGTGGTTGGAGGAGATATACCGTGCCAAGAGGTTGTACAGTTATACAATGGATCACCGATTTCAGTCACAGAGTCTCGCAACTACAGGAAGTCTCGCGTTTAGTCTCTCAAGGCGGAGCAAAGGAGATAAAGGTTTATTTCAGTTTTCATTGCACTTGCTCAACTGTTTCAGATATTTTATCAGTGAATAATAATTTAATATAGTATTTAAGTATACTCGATGCTGATACTCTTGATTTCATTATATTATTTTTTTTTAATATATCTGCTTTTTATGGAACTCGATTAGACTCAACATAAAATTGTAAATCAACTACGATTGCATTTCAGAGTTTCCCAGTTTGGCTAGGAGGTTTGCTGAATCCTGAGGCTTACATCACTGCGACCAGGCAATGCATCGCTCAGGCTAATAGTTGGTCACTCGAGGAACTGCAGTTGAATGTAACTATCGGCGACGGCGATAACATTGCGACTGACGATTGCTCCTTCGCCGTTACCGGTTTGAAGCTTCAAGGTGCGCAATGTAAAGATAATCAATTATATTTAACTTCGACTATCATGACTGACTTACCAGTCACCATGCTAAGATGGGCGCGATCGTCTACGGAGGATATTAGAAAGGGCAAATTGTCCCTACCCGTCTATTTAAACAGCACTCGTACCGAATTGCTATTTACTGTCGATTTGAATATCGCTCCTAGTCAAGAACCGCACAGTTTTTACGAGAGGGGGGTCGCTGTATTAACATCCACCGCTTTGAATTAATAAGTGCTTAATAATTAAAACTGTCTAGAGCAAATTGTACCGCTTATGAAACAAAGAGTACTATTACAATAAAACAGAAACAATTTATGGTACATTACTGCGTGTTACATCATTTGTAAAGAAGAGGGCATAGTAACAGGTAACTTGCTATAAATATAAAATATAAAAACATTAAAGAAATATATATTTTACACTAAATTGCTTTCGTATTCTCCAAAGGATTTTGTGCTAGTTGTACAATTAGAAACGTATACTTTCGGGGCATAGAACATAAATGTACATCATTCATTTATAAGAATCAGCAGAAGGTTGTAATATATGTAGTTTATTTAATATTGTACACGTTTTTAGATTTAAAATATGATTTTCTATGACAAAAAGATTACGTTATGTTTGCCCAGATGTAAGTATCAAGATATAGTGTTTATAACATCTTAAAGGCATCTAATAAAGTCGTATTATAATAATCTTAATTATTATTCTACAGTTATACCATACATCCTCGAGATGTATATATACTTATATATACGAGATGTATATATACATATACATATATATTTATAAATATACTTATGTATATGTATATGCATGTATATATAAACTATGTATATATATGTACACGTATGTATATATTATATATACGCGCACACGAATCCATACGCACACACATCCTATTCTATATATATAGATATAAATATATAGATATATATAGAATATTAGAAATAATATCTTCAAAGTTTTGCCATACAAGTCATGTCACTTTATTTTGTAGCGCACAAATATCCTTTAACAACACACATGATTCGGTACTTTTATAGGATGTAATAATACCTGAGAATATCTTTAACATATACTTTTATGATATCCTCCAAACTTTCGTGGAATCTACTTGTACTGTTAGAGTCAATTTTTACCAATAATAATAAGAAAAACTACTAATACAGCAGAAATCACAAATAAATACATCGGAAAAATAAATAAAAACTACTAATGTAGTCAGAGATAAATACATCGCAATGTATTATTAAATATGAACACAATGTATTATGATGGACGATTTCTCTCTTTGTTGCCAGTTTTTCTGTATTTCCAAAAACAATGTCATGAAAGCTCTTTACACTTCACGAATTTCCTCTAGCAATACACACATTAATTTAACTTCTTTAGTTTGCTCTGATATACCACAGGTTCTACGATTTCCTTAAAAACAAAAAAGATCAAAATTAACGTCAAATTACATTCGACATAAGAATATTTCGTTCTTTTTTTTTAATAAAATAAAAACATTTTCTAGGCAACACGAATTGCACGATTACAAAATAAATGAAAAGTTTATTTTGTTAAATATTTACTTCTTTAAAGATCTCTCTTGTTTTTTCAATAAAGAAGTTGGCCATATAATCTTTCTCGTTGGTCGTAGAAAGGTAAGAACACGTTCTAGAACATTTAGCATGATTCTGCCAAGGATCATCATCCAATTCCCACTGTACTATTGTTATTCCACATGTGAAACATCTTGTTCGATCGCTATTTCCTGTGTAAAACAAACCTGCAGCCGCTAGTCTCTTTTTAAGACATGATAGCACTTTGGGCCATTCGGCAAAAGAAGTTAATCTAGCATCGTAAGTGTTGTATACAGGATACTTCACACTTGAGGGCGAATCAGACAATTCTTCTAAACTGTAGGGTCCGCACACATCTCCAGACATAGTCAGAATCGTGTTAGTATTAACATTCATTGGCACGTTGCATGAAGTATTACCAATAAATTTACATCTCGGAGAACGTTGTTTATGGTAGAACATCGGATCGACATTCAACTTCCAATTCCATATTTCTACTTTACATTCGAAACATCTCACTTTGTCGTCTACTCCTGTATAATAAAATCCAGCCTCTGCAAATTTTTCCGGCGACAAACACGGCCAGCTCTCGAAGCTTTTCAAACGGACCGTTTTCACTTCATACCCGTTACGCTTTGATCCGTTAAATACACCAGGATTTGAGGCAAGGCGGAGTAATTCCATAGAATTATAGATTCCACACTCGTCTCCTTCTCCAGACGGTGGTGTGGAAGAATTACTTGGCGTATTATCCTCGCCATATGGACGCCGGGTGCATCTAGGCATCTTTGTAATATTTTCACTTCAAAAACTTTTCACCTATTAAAAAAGATATACGGTGCATAAATTTTATTTAAAATAAAAATTTACCTTCCTCGCAAAAAGAAAATCGTACATGGATTTCGGTTCGAATTTAACTTGATTATACTTTCTGTAATATTGTATAATCTGTGTAATATTTTATTACACAGATCACATTACAGATTATTAACATTTTTATATTGCAGATCTTTTAAACATATTAGCCATTTACGTCTTTTAATATACTTAATTGCTCGCTTTTTGTTAGAATTTCATTTCGCGATTGCGAATTATGAGATAGAATCCTAGTACATAGGATAATGGGGTTTCTGTTAAATTAAGACATCATCAGTTGATGCCCACCATTGATTGCCCTTGGAGCGAAATCTGTTTAGTGGAAAATTCATTGTTAGATTGCGTAATTGTTGCGAAAAAAGATTTGTGATTGAATTTGGGTGTTGAAAATCTGCCATCTCATATTAGAAACCTGTCTCATAATAGAGGACTTTCCTCTATATTGCACGCTTTTTCCGTTAAAACACGACGGATCCCTACACCCAGGGATGATCCTACTTGTGGCTCATCCGAGCGGAGAAGTTTACACGGGCATTTTAGTATGGCTATCATACTAATTGTAAGTGTGGTTTTTGTGTGATTTCACTATAATTTTTAACCGTCTTCTTATGTAGAAATGGCACCCGAGTCCATAAACGGTCTCAATACGACGATCTTTGTCCATTTATTTACTTACTCGGATGAGCCACAAGTAGGATTATTATCCCTAGGTATAGAACGGGCATCAGAAATGGACACATACCTGTGATCGAGCAATCTGCTCGGAAGCTCTTACAAGAAAGACGGGGTATTGACTGTAATTTAACGTCGTCGAAACTCGTCTCGGTGGCCAGCTTCAACGTTCGTTCTAAGATCTGGTCGAAGTATAATTGAACGTTAAATCTATATCACACAAATACGCGTATGTAAACAAACACGCGCACACGCACATACGCGCGCACACATACAGTATGTACAGCTATATTTGTATTTCACACCAATGAAATAATACTATTATCAACTTCTAGTAATATGAATTAAATGAAAAATAAGTAGTATAGACTAAAAATCAATTTATATAGTTGATTATAATGTAACTATGTCATTTTATTATAAATTTGTAGATTTTCATAAAAGAAGGTTTATTGTAGAATATTTTACATTCATTGCATATACATATTTACAATTATTTTATAAGGATTACATAAATATTTTTATAAAATCCATCAAGTTTTCTAACTCGTGCCACCACAAGGTATATCTCGTACCGGTACGATTTTATAAACAATAAACGATATAAATTATTTGACTTGTTTAGATAAAGATTATTGGTAAAATAAGTATTAGTTAATTTCTTTTTATATCAGTCATACTTTTTACACGACTTTTTATTATTTTCACTCACAAATTTGACTATTTCAACCAGTTGTCTAAATCGTACCTCTTGCAGCATGTTACAAAAAGACTCTACAATTTCTAACGGTTATTTGCGTACAAATCAGTACCAAATGGGATATAAAATAAATAATACCTTAAGTGACGTTAAGTATTTCGAAAAGTATGTAATGTATGCCGCGAAAAAACCTTCGAAAAGAAAATTGGAGAGATGTTAGACTGGACGTAAGTCAGCGAAATTCGCTCTTGAAGCAAAGGTTCTAGTGACATCAAAGTTATAGTCGGTTTTTTTTAACAATTAAATCACAACTGAGCACAGGAACTACGCTGTCGATTTTTATTAGTCCCGCGATCGGTTCACACTATATCAATTTTATTGTATCACAGAGCATCCCTCGATAAAACGAAAGTGTAAATTAGAAACACGTGGAAACGAACGGACGCACGACCGTTTCACCGTGGAACGAAGCAGGGAGAAAGAGCCCCTACAGTGTCCTTTCGTCCCAAATCGCTTATTGTTGAAGGGTAGCATTCGCAGTGGCGTATCGTGCCTCAAGAATTCACTTAACGAACAGGCACCACAGTGGCGCGTAGCCTAAAGCCCGCTGCAGACGATGCTATTTTTCCTGCTGGATTGCTTGCGATTTACTAAACTACTAGGAATCCTGAGTGCTGAGTGGTGCAACGATAGTAATTTACTAAATCGCAAGCAATCCAGCAGGAAAAATAGCATCGTCTGCAGCGGGCTTAAGGGACAAAATGAAATCTGAATATTGTACTTAAGATGGTTTTAAGGATGAGAATAGATTACGAGTATCGATCTCCGTAAACTTTCTTAATCACAAATAGATTCCTCGGGAGATGCCGTGGATAAAAATATAAAGGTATATAAAACTATATTTTTTATATCTTTCAACAAATTTCATATCTTTCTTTCTCCTATTTTAATATGTTTTGATATAAATGTCAAATTTCTCATATATAAAGTATTCTTTTTTTATTATCTCAATTTTCATTGTTCTCTAATTTATAATTAGAGATTATAATAATACTTACATACCTTTTTAATTAATCTTTCGATAAAGGTAAGTGCAAGAGTTTTTCCTTAATTGCGATACGTGTGCAGCATACCGATAAGATGATTGATTACGAAATTTTACTCGGTGAATTTGATAGGATTTCCAAGACTGCGGTGTATTTTATACTCCACACGAATAACGTACAAGTTAAGTAGGCAAATATATTGATCTTAATTTTCTCTTAATCTGTATTATAATTCAATAATAAATTTATTTTACCTATGCAACGTATATTTATGTTTATTAAATTCTTGGAATTGGGAATCGAGGAATTAACTCGAAGAGACAATGGCAGGGATAAGGGATAATGATCTGTTGTAATATATAACTGTTCGAATCAAGGAACTAATCTTACCGTTATTAAAAAAAATTAAGATAAAAATCTTTATCCAGGATCGTATTTCACACGTTTTTATCGTTGCACTTATTCTATCTGGATGGGATTCTAGGCAAACGCGTTGTTACAAACATTTCCGCAAAAGAAGAGATAACTTATTTTGCTTATTTGTTAAACGACGCAGTTAACTCGCATATCATTTTTTTTATCATGTTCTTATCGTGCAAGTGGACATGCAAGGTTCACGTGCGCATGGAATGTCGTTGAGAAACAACAGTCTTTTGTCTTTTGAAATTTTATTTCGTATTATAATTGTTGAAATTATTACATGTGTATATCGCTGTTTTTTGTACAGTAATGTCAAAGTTATTTTGCCCAGGGTACACGTTTCGATTGTCACACAAATGCATTTTACCGCAGATATTTGAAAAAAAAAACGTTGCATAGTTCGTGTTAATCGCGAAAATATCTTTGCCGTAAATATGCATTTGTGGTGTAAAAATAAACATTTATCATAAAAATAATTATACAAAAATATATGTATATATATATAAATTTATGTGTATATATATATATCAATGTACTGATAGAACAGAATAACTTTGAACAGAGGGAACGTAATTACAAGGAAAAAAATGTATATTAGGAAAACGACTACAACGCGAAAATGCAAAATTTTTGGTTTTGTTTGAACCCATTGTTGAATACACAATATTATGATTCAACTTTGTGTAACGCAAAAGAGATCGTATAATATCGAAAGAACTATCTAGAACCCTATTTTCCATAGACTATTATCATACGTATAATGAACAGTTTTTTTTATACCAATTCCCTTATGTTAAGTATACACTCGCGAAATAAAGCGGAATAAGATATCGTAATAAGAGGCTTGTTTTCTATGGCTACACTGATGAACTAGTGCAATAAATTAGAGTAAGAAAAGTATTTTTTTTTCTCGTTCTAGCTTAGTGCTAGTTCACCAGCGTTCAATACAGCAATAGGAAACAAGCCTATTGTTCTGTTTTAAAATTACTCTTCGAAAAACAATTACAATTAATTACAATATTCTTTCTATAAACGTAGAATTATCCATTAAATGTATTTGGGTGTGTATCTATTGCGCATAACCGTGCACAGCTCAACTCTGTGAAGCCACTATGTTGACGTTTAAAATTATCCCTTTCTACGTGAAAATACGCTAATTTATTTTTAAGTAAACCTAATATATACAAAATATTTGCAGATAAATTAAATATATATTAGACACTAAAATGTAATTCCAATCTAATAAATTTTCTTCACGTTTAAAATGTTTACGAAAGTGTTGTAGAGAACAGAGAAAATAATGTGAGCACCTTGTAGGTCATTTTCCAGGTGTTCACCATTATTTTATCCATCCTCTATATGTATGTATGTATGTATGTATGTATATTTAAGTATGTACACTCATCCTTCAATATACACGGTAGTTTTTCATACATGAGATTTTTTACGCGGTAAATACATTCTTCAGTTTACGCGATCTCATTTTAAACAATATATCTTTTCGTGGCACTTATTGAAATTATTATTATATATTAATAAGCCGAAAGTTAGTTTGGTTATAATTATTATATCATTTCTTAGTTGACTTCCCTAGTAGCACAGTGCATTGACCAAACATTGGTTAAACATTGGTCCACATTCAACTTATTCGTATAATCGACATCAAAATTACTTTTCCGCTTTCATAATTATTGTTTTTATGCAAATATATGACATATTTGTACAACATATACGGAACTCTCACGGTTTTTTTGTACTTTGCAATTCTCAACCGCAAAAAAAATCACATGAAACAAATACTCCGTGTAAATTTAAGAAAGTGTAAGTGTAAGCGTGAATACGTGTGCACGCGCGCAAACATCGGATCTTTTCAGAATTTTTATTTTTACCGATTAGTCAATTCGGATATAAACGTAGAATTTTCACCTTTTAGGAACTCCATTCAATTGTATCATTGGGGGCCACTTGTGTGTGATTGTTTCTCTTTATCTTGGTTTTACGTAGAATACCAAGTCTGAGGTTTATTCAGTGCGATCGCAATCTTAAGTGCAAGAACCTATAAATATCTGTCAATGCGCAGTCACGAAAGTTATATTATCTATACATAATCGACGAGTATACTAAAAGTTATTTTCGTAATCTTACATTTATTAAATTAAATTTATTGATTGTTACCTATACAACATAACTCACACATCAAAAAAGCTGTTACATTACATTTCTTTCAGGACAAATTATAAATTATGGCCGACGTCATAAACTTATGCTGTGATCCGTAAAAAGTAGATCGAGACTCTTGAAACTGAATATTGTGTCAATTTTGTGGCATCAACGCTGACTGATTTTTATCAACCTGGAGTGCTTCGATTTGTTAAGGTTACAATATCTTACACTTACAGACAATAATGCGTTTAATAATTTGCAGTACATTAATATGTATAAAGTACAACAAAGAATGCCTAACAGGTTACGAAAATGAGGAAAAGACTGGCAAATTGAAATTCTTTATTATTATATAGTTTATAGAAAGGATAATAAAGTCAGTCCACAAATATTCGATACGAAAATATTTGCATTAAAATATATTGCTCCTCACTTTGTCATTGAGGAAGATTCAATACGGATCGAAACGTCCGACGATAATTTTAGAAACAATATGTATATTGATACAAATATTTGCGCGTCAAGAATCACGATCTGGACTTTATCGACCTTCTCCCAGCTAGACGGTTTATGTAAAGGGGCCTTTCGTTTCTTTACCTTAGACACGTATGTCGAATTCTACATACGAAATTATAAACTAAAAATGACTAGACTCCGTGCGTTGTGTTGCTATTTGTACTCCTACAATGGTCGCTTTGTTCATATCTCACCGTCTCAGCGCATTCTTTTCAGCAAATATCGCGTTTGTGAACAACAATATAAACTCAAAAACATTCAAATAGCAACATTCCGTTGCAGGTACAATCTATCTGTTCTGATTTTAACGACTTCCTATATTTGCGCCATTTAATAGTTCAAATATGAAAATTTGTGATATGCCATATGTGTTTCACACACTAACAATTTTTGCAATATCGGTTACATAGCCATATACATATATATATTTGAATATAGGAACATCTATTACTTGTACAACGATTACAAATTACATTCACGATTTCTTAGTATTACAACAGAATATCCGTTCTATTGAGACCATGACAACCGTGAAGCTAGGTGTTTCATTAACGAGAGCTTTAACATTGCATAGTTTGTACCTGCTGATCGGTGTGCTACACGAGTCATGTCATTCAGTTTTGCGTCCAAATATCAGTCTTTATAATGACGAAGTAGAAAGTTTGGGGGCAAAATTTGCAGATGTATCACACGGATAAGGACACTATGGGAGGTACACTTGTACAGTACGTTCAACAGGCTTACGACATACGCCGCATATTCTCATATTTTTCGCACACTCCGCGCACGCCAATAAATGTCCGCACGGCATAAACACGATCCGTACCTCTCTATTGTAGCATATTTTGCATAATCTTGCGTCCTTATAGTACGGTTTTTCACCTTCGATAGATTGTTCTTCGCTTCTGGCCTCACCTGATTCAGCACTTTCTTCTGTAGTATTAGCTTCTTCAGATGTCGTTGAGTTTTGAGAGCTTCCGCTAGCAATACTCTCGGTATCTTTCCCAACTTTCTCATCCAACTGAGTAACTGAGTTTTCCTGGAAAAACAAAAAAATACACAACTCGAGATTAACTGAGTGTTCGCACATTCCACGAAATTTCATTTTATTTCATTCTTTTTCAAAAGTAGAAGGAAATATTTATTACAAATTTCTGCAATTCTAATAACGATAAATATATCCTTTCAAATACTCACTGTCGCGATATACTTTCTCCCAGTGATGTTGCTCACAAATTCCGTCCCTTTAGTTAAAACCAGATAAGGACAGTATTCGAACCACTTGGCGTGCTCTATCCAGGGGTCATCTTGCGGCTCCCAATCCCTCAATCCTCCGCCGCAGTGATAGCACAACGTTTGATCACCACTTCCTGTGTAGAAGAAACCAGCGGTTGCCAGCGACTCTTTAGTTTGCGACATTGCTATAGGCCATCTGTCGAAGGAAGCTAATCTGGTAGCATAACTGGCATACGCGGGATGCTTCGGTCTCGAGGCAATCCCTATCGATTTATAGTTCACTTTTTCTTCTTCTGTCCCTTCGTGGTCTGGGCCAGAATAAGGCATGTATATCGCACGGCCGTAAGGCCCACATACGTCCATTCCTTTAGGCGCCGGTTCCGGAATCGTGCTAGGATCCGCGCCGATCGGCACGTTGCCGCACGGAATATTCCGAATAAACCTACACCTTCCGGACCACCGTTGATGATCCACCATCGGATTGTCGTCCGCTTGCCATTCGCATATCTCTATGTTACACTCAAAACACGTCACCTTGTCGCTTTCGCCAGTGTAATAAAACCCGGCGGCCGCGAGTGCCTCTGGCTTTACCCACGAACATGGCCAGTTCTTGAAGGTCGCTAAACGGGCAACTTCAAATCGATAATCATCGCCGTTATCGATTTCATCGGATTCCTCAATAAATATAGGATTTAATGGTGAGCTTGATGACAAACGATTCGGTGGAAGCGTAGGATAGTGTTCGATCACACCAGTCATTCTTGTAATATGTGTGTGGGGATGTGCTTCTATGAACCTGTAAAGAAGAAACAAGGGTCAGCAAGTGCTCAAGTTTTATTTAATAATAATTCGTCGACAATTTTACTCAACGTGTTGTTTGTTAAACATACATTGAACCAGAGAGAAACCTGAGAGCGGCCATCCTAGGCCATCCCAGCCTCGACGAGCACTTTTTTCAACGCTTGACGTGCCGCCTGACAAAGTGGATGTGAACTAATGGATGGCCGCTCTTAGGTTTCTCTCTGATTGAACAAACGATTGTAAACAGTAGAGGAAAGTCGCCTGTTATGAGATAGATATTTTTAATATAAAACAGCGAGTTTTCAACCCCCAAATTCAATCACAAATCTTTTTTCGCAATGATTACACAATCTAACAATGAAATTTCTACTAAGCAGATTTCGCTCCAAAGGCAATAAATCCATGGTGGAATCGATGCTAATAGAATAAGTTATTGAAAAATTAATTCATGATTCAAAGATTCGTGATCGAGCTTCAGGACTTCAGTAGAAACAGGGACATTGACCATACCATACTATGGTAATACTGAAACTGTGAGAAAGTGACACTCTTTCAGACAATATCGTTTTATCAGTAGATAGCTACAAATTTGAATGTACGGGACCTAAGGTAATAATACTGTTGGCCGAATAAGCAACGATGCAGGCAAACATACAGGTTGATAACGAAACATAGTGTCGGCGAAACCGATGACGCAAGTCTGACACCCCCTACATCGAACTTACAAGTTACATAAGCAACCTTGTAACGGAAGCAAATAGTTTTGCTTACAACACATATCGTACAATATTTACAAGACTATCAATTTATCATTACAGGAAATGTAATCTCAAAACGAAGGTCCAAGGCTGATGGCAGAAAGTGGTCCGAGGGTCTACGGATCGTTTTCTCTGCCATCAGCCTAACGACGTTTCCACGACAATAATTGGCAACCTATAATGCATAATTAAACATTAATATAAAACTTGGTGAAATATTTTTATTAATGAGAATATTCGTAAAAGTCGCCAGCAGTAATTAACAACATCGGTGATTTTTATTGGCCGTATCTGGCAATTTTAATAATACAGAAAATTTATTGTCGAGGTAATAATTTTCACAATAAATTTTCACTCAAGAGAATACGACAATCAGATTCACGAATTTTTCAACAGTTGCAAAAAGCAAATTTTTCTGCTGAACGCGAGCCGTTCGCGGCAATTATCGCATACGCTGTCCACATGGGGAGACACGTGTTCCTCACGTTGGAATTTTCCACTTCACATTTTTGTAACTACGTGCAACACTGGCCATGGTCAAGCTGCCGCTGCAAACGTTTCGAAGCGTTTCTCTTCTCTTTCTATCTTTACTAAAAGAAAAGAGAAGAAGAATACTCCGTAACATTTGAAGCGACAGCTTGACCGCAGCCACTGTCGTACAATATCTCGTAAAAATCAAAATATAAAAATATTTTTGGTCGTATCTAGCAATTTTAATAATTAATTAAAATTTTAATAATACTAAATTAATTAAAATTAGCAGATACGACCAAAAATACTTTTATACGTTGATTTTTACGAGATATTGTACGACAGTGTTGCGCGTAGTGACAAAAATGTGAAATGGAAAATTCCAACGTGAGGCACACCACGTGGACAGCGTATGCGACAATTGCTGCCAACGGCTCGCGTTCAGCAGAAAAATCTGCTTTGCAACTGTTGAAAAATGCGTGAATCTGATTGGCGTATTCTCTTAATCTTGAGGTAAGTGCGTACACCACCAGATTCATGAATTTTACAGCAGTTACAAAGCTTTTTCTGCCGAGTGCAACCAACGTGCTAACAACTTCCGGTCTAGTTTGCCTGCGCACCACGGTTCGTTTACCGAGCGAAAATACACTCCTGTACACTCGCGAGTGCAGTAACACAAAAAAATTAAAACACTCATTATGCAAATCGAACCCAAGTTATCGATTGAACGCACTTAGAAGTTCGTCGGATCAGCCGTTGCTGAGATCCGAAAATCTGAAGGTCTGTCAACTCGCATACTCGCGTAAACTACACGGTTGATCTCGCGTGTGCAGTTCTAGCTACGCTTATACTTGGCATGAGACACTACCGTGTCTCGCGACAAGTACAAAGTCTACGAGCACCGTGACTGTGTTCATCAGGGAAACAAACGAAAAAGTCACTTGCGGCCAAATTAAGTCCCTTACCGGAATCAATGGACACCGGGAGCGATCTCGTGTCTCGTGAGTCTCGTGACCGACTGAGGAAGCGAGGGAAAACAGTCATGGAGGAGCGAGGACCAGTGTCTCCCAATGGGAGGCTCCCATGCGAAAGCCGCTGCATCCATGGTGGCCAGTGGTCGGGATATGGTGGGGGGGCGCACTCAGATTAGCTGAGCATCTCGGCGAGTTAACCTGAGAGCGCCCCCTACCTCATTCTCACCACCGGCCAGGGTGGGTGCAGCGGCTTTCGTCTGGAAGCAGTGGCAAAGGCGCAAAGGCGCTCCGACGCAGCAATGGCGCGCGCAACTCACCACCCACGTAAGAAACTTAATCGACCTAGAAACCACGACGCAGGTTGTAAATATGTTTCAACGTGAGAGAAGAACAGCGGCTGTTCGCGGCCATTGTCTGTCTCTCGTTCGACAAATAGACCGTGATCAACCGCTACCATCTTTGAAAAGTTTTACACGCGCACAGGACCCTATTTCAGCAAACGTGCGTGGGTGCGTAAGCATGTACGCAAGCACAAGATAAAGTCAAGGCGACATAAAAAAAATTAATCGTTTTTAGAAAGTCAAGATAATATCGTGGCGAGCGTGGCGCAGAGAAATGTGCGATGCTTAGTACATAAACGAACGGAAAGATCCGAGTTCAAATCCAGTCGGGAATCCCGCTGGAATTTTTCGGACGCCACCTCTCACAATTAGAGGGAAGTGGGAACCGCCGAGAGTATCCTGTCCATAGACATAATAGATGTAGACCGAGCGTTTGCCATTATTTGAGCAGTGGGGGTAGAGGTTCACGAATTTGTAAAAATATTTGGTTTTTGAAGCGTCCTGGATCTTTCAGTCACAAGATACAATACAGCTTTGTAGCAATGAGCGTAGTTAGCTCTTTGTGTGCTCGTGTACGAACATTGCACGTAAAAACAAGTATTCTCAAACACCAGTCTTCTCGATATTGTTATGCATACATGTTGTGTCGTAAGTGCATTTGTGACAAATGCATTGCAACTTCGACGTATTTATACGCGGATTATTAATTAATATATAACATTGATAATAACAGAATAAAAGTCAGTCGTAAGTGTTAACGTTGAAACATATCAGGCTCTGAAAGCTGTCGTGTGACAGACATAAAATAAACGAATGACGACTCTTGCACCTTTGACCGCGCGCTCAGTGGAAAAAACAGCTTAGTATCCGCTTAGTGATCCGTTGACGTAATTGGTTCTTGCTTTTAGCTCTTTGCATTTTAATCGTAAAGGCCGTGTCCCGATATTCTCTATGCAAGTACTGGAAATCTGTAGCTTACGTGACGTACTGGCAGTGAATCGGAACAGTCAAAGAATCGTGAAACAATTGTTAAGCTGCTTTTTCCGTTAAACGCAGTCATTGTGATCGCACGATATACACCTCGATTCTTATTTAAACTATTGTACTCTCGATAATTGTAATCTCGACAATTGTAATCTCGACAATATCTGAGATGTCCTTTTTTACACCTCGGGTGCAGAAATTTCAAGTAATTTGAATGACTAAATATTCTCTAAACAATTCTCACTTAAAAACTATTGTACTCTCGATAATTGTAATTTCCACAATATCTAAAATGTCCTCTTTTACACCTCGAGTGCAGGAATTTCGAGTATTTTGTGAACGACTAAATGTTCTCTGAATAATACTTATCTAAAAGGTATTGTACTCTCGACAACATCCGAGATGTGATTTTTATCTTTCTTTTCTTCTGAGAAAAACCAACGCGATAAAAAGTGTCAGAGACCTACGGTCAAAAGAAAACGCAGATATAAAGTCTGAAATCTCAAGGCAGGTCGGATTGAAGAATTTGTTGAAGCGAGACGAACTGCATACAATAAAATAAACAATAATAACAATAATGAATAATACAAATGTATAAGTGGGATTATTTTATACCCTATCTGTTTGAATTCTTATTCGTACATATTTGTGGTTTAACCCACGAAGCCGCAGTGGGCTACACATCGAAAAGAAATTCGACTTCCCCACAAACTACCAACGCGTTTCAACGCATAAGGTGTAACAGCTGTCATCCGCGACACCGGGTATATGTATACGTCGAATGCAACGTTGCCGCTAGCGCGGCCTCTATTTCTGTTCGTCTTATTACATTACATGGGAACGCGCCGCGTACCCGCGGAGTGAATTGTAACGGTAGGATCGACGTGCACGTTCGTCTTCGTTTCGCTTCGTCGTGGCCCTCGGCTCTTTTTGGAGTATCGCGTGAGAATAGCCCCTATGAACTAATGGATAAGGCATTGGTCTTCTACACCGGGGATTGTGGGTTCGAGTCCTATCAGGCGTATGGATTGCTTTTAACGAGTAGCGCTAGAGGAATTTCTCCCAACTCACCACAAAGCTCCGGAAAATTCCAAGATACTTCAAAATGAAGGATATTATCTCAAGAGGATACCTACATCCTGTTCACGTTGGACTATCTTATTTCCTTTTTTTTTTATATGAAATAAATCAGAGAGTTAAGTCAGGGCCACTTTGTATGAAAACAAGAGACTTAACTCCCTATTACAGAATGTTGTTTGAAAAAATTGCGACATTTAGCGTAGATTCGAAATTGAAAATACTTGATTGAGAGAATCGTTCGTGAATTCTCGCGTTACAAGCATCGGCAACCCGCAGTATTTATTTTACGCGGGATAGATTCAGTCCGCGACAAAGAAACTCCGTGTGTTGGAACGTTACTTCGAGATCGCTCGCTGCCAACTTCACGAGGATGTTTCCAGCGACAGC